TTAATACCATATAAATCATTTATATCCCTGCCCTGTCATTTATGGGAATATGGCATAAACTCCATACCCTTATCTTAATTAAACTGATAATGCACAGCAGATACAGCTCCAAAGTGCATCTGAAAACAACCCTGAACACTGCTGGCTCTCTCACAAGCACGTGTTTGCGCAGGGGTTACACCACCCAGCCAGAGGGTACCTGCGGCAGCAGCTGGGCACGCTCTGCAGCCCAACAGAGAGCAGAAATCAAGCCCTGCATCACTCTGCTGGGAAGGTTTTGACACTGCTGTGAGGTTTGATGTTTCTCCCACAGGGAACCCACACAGCTACACAGCTGAGCCTCGGGTGTCAGCAGCGAAGCACCCACGTACACCTCCAAGCAGAGGCACTCCATCTAAACCAGCCACCACTGCAGCCCAGGGTGAGACAAGAAGGCTGGCACGGGGACGGGGCACGATGCAGGCAAAAGTTATAGCGAAGGCGTTTTTGAAACCATTCAGCTCTGCTGGATGCAGAGGGACAAGCTGCAGCGTGATGCTGCCCCGGGGCCACGTGGGAACAGTGTCACACAGACACTGCTCCCGTTCCCTGCACCTGCAGGGTGGCGGGCTGGGTGCAAGTAAGGTGCTCCTGACTTCTCTCACCCTCTCAGCGGGCTCATGCATTGCCAGTGTGCCCTGTTCAGGGAAGGCTGAGCATTCCTCGGAGTAGCTGCCCTTCTCCTCCTCCTCCACAGGTCTCTGCCTCCCTCCTTTTCATCTCTCTCCACCACGGGCAGTTCTGCCAGTGTCAGTGTACCAGGTTAGCTGGCAGAATGATGGGGTTTGTGTGTGTCTGACACCAGCCCTTGGGGAGATGAGGAGAGGGGGTAAGCTGGTTTTTGTGGAGGAGGAGTGCTCCAACAGTGCAGCTGGAGCAAGAGGCAGGCTAGGGAAAGAAAAAATATTACAAGAGAGTATTTCTTTGGCTTTGCCCCAGAAAAGCATCCCTATTCAAGAGGAACACTTAAGCATTTGCTTATGTTTAAGAACGTGCTCAAATCCTGTTGACCTAAACAGAAATTAAGCATATGTGTTTAAATGAGCATATGCTTAAGTGCATTCTTCAGACAGGAGGGATGAAGCCAATTAAGCACGTATCTATATGCAAGCTAACTATCTGTCATTTACATTTAGACGTTGCAATGCATTTTGGACAGTGAACAATTCTGGCAAGGAATTTCTAACTAATCATTTCACAGCGTTTGATAGCTTTAATGAAAAGACAACATTCTCTGTTCCTTTGAAGTAAGGTTTTCTCCCTAAAAAAAAAAAAAACAAAACAAAAAAAATCCATAGATTTCATAATTGAAATTTTCTTGAGAAGGTAATAAATAGCATTGGAATGTAAGCTGTTGTCTGTGTCCACTCTGAGTCATTTCACCAGAGAGAGACACCTTGCATAACCATGAAAGGAGACAAAACTGACATTTAAGTCTTGAAACACAAAATAAACTTTTCCCATCCATTGTTCCCTTGTATATGTGTAAACGTTATCTTTAGTGGACATGATTTGATTTAGACCTTCCCCACATTGCAGCTGGTTTAATGGAATGCCATAATAGTGTCACACGGTTATTCTTGAAAAACAGCTACTAAATGTTGATGTTACTTATTGTAGTAATATTTATGTGAGAATGCTGCAAATACTTGTGAAAAGGTTTAAAAGGTTGAAAGGCGAGTATAGCCATAAATTATGAGTAATGCTGCAGTTGGGAAGTGACATAAAGTTCAATGGCCTCAGCTGTCGACACTGTGTGTTCATTGTTTTGGACACTCATGTGACTGCGTCTCAGCCAGGCAAGGGCTGGTTCTCTCCCTCACTGGATGGGATTTCAATGCAGGATTGTGGAGCTTTTTTAAAGTGATTCTCCAATGTCCATTGTGTAACTTTCTCATCTCTGGCACGAGAATCAGCCTAAAAGACAACCTTAGTAGTCTGAGTGACTGAAACAGATGATGGAGTTCACATTAATGCTGCCTTACAAGACTAATTCACATTTTACTTCCTTATAACACTGAGAAGAGAAAGAGAAGAAAAAAAAATACAGTCCTAGCCAGTAAGGCAGATTTGTTTGTTTAAGAGTTATTTACAGGATGTTTGAACTGCATTTTGGGAGCCTTCCACCCAGAGCCAAAGCCAGCCCCACAGGTCACAGTGCCACTGACGCAGTGGGGTTTCCCTACCCTTACAAGAACATCTGGGGCAGCTCTTGCCCCAGGACAAGGAGGGAAGGAAGAAGGGATGGAGCTGGGATGAGGAGCATGGGGGAAGATATGCAGAGCTGGGCTGGCTGATGCTGTTCCCCACTGTTGCCACCACTATTTGATCTCACGCTCAGTGGTAGCCTGCTGGCTTCTCTCAGGCTGCAACACAGGCAAAGCAAGCAGCAAAGCCAGGATAACCTTGCTGCTCACAACAGCCCACAGCATCTTTGGCCTGCATCTAGACTAGCACAAGAGAAGGCTGGAATAGATAAGGTCCTGAATTGCAAGATCACTCCAAACTGTCCTCGGACATACTGTGCCATCCTCCTACTGACACTCTCCTTAGGCAATGGAGAGCTTTATGGCTTAGGTAGATTAGATTAGTCCTTTTATAAAGTTCATTTTGAAATGGAAGGATCAATTCTCCAATGTGGTTGCATGTTGGGGCCCTCAATCTCCCCTCAAAACTTTTAAATGTGCTCTGGATGGTGCAGGGAAGACATAGTTATACCCAAACCAGAGAATTTGCTTTGTGTGTGAGGAAGAATCCACAGGCTAAACTGTGGGTAAATCTCAGAGAGCATCATTAGGGGTGATTAGAGTCCAGTCTATAAAGTCCTTAACAATCACACCTGCAGTTCTCTGTGCCATATTATGTCCCCCATGCTACTTGCTGCCTTGTATCCCCTTCAGGCTGCCTCTGCCTGGGCCAGTCCCTGTAGCTCCAGTCAGATTCAAGGTACTGTGATGTGACTACTACTGGTCCTGTAATTACAACATGATCTCCAGAAATGTCCACATCTTTGAGACTGCTCCACTTTTCCTTCAGTTTTACTGCTCTGCTTTCAAATCTCTGTGCCCAGTGGTATCAGCAGGATGTTCATGAAGCTTCTGAGTGGTTCCCTCGTGCCAAGACCATATTGGTGATGCCCCAAGGAGTTGTCAAGTCCCAGATAGTCTGTCCAGTTGACAAAACCTCAGAAATTTTCCCTGAGCAAGTGTAATCCTCTTCTCCCCCTCCCTTTGTCTGGAGAAGCTCCTTATGTTCAGTGGCAGAGGTGGAAAAAACAGGAACAGCTGGAGACAAACCTGGCATCTAGGGATCACTCCACCAGTGTGGAAGCCTCCCCAGCCTGGCAACTTTGCCAGGAACGAATGCACTTTGGAGGTGGAGCACTTTGATGCTTAGGGCTTAGAGCTTCCATCTGTACCCTGTCCTTTCACAGTATTGAATATGTTATGCAAGCACATGTGGCTACAAGTGCATGCATTTGCACAGTGTTTGTAAAACATCACTTTTTCTGCGTTTATAAAAGGTCTGTAATGCATGTTCCATGGTTTTTTTTCTCTGATATGAATATTTGGTTAATAAATGGGACAGCCTGTAGCAATGTTCTCTTCTGCCAAGACAAAGGGAGCAGGGAAGTTGTAAAGAAAAGCATTTAGCAAATTTGGAAAATGTCTTTAACATATAAAACCTAAAATCATCATAAGCCCATAAAAACTATGGTAAATGAACAAGTAAAATCTCAGTAAGCCTGTAATTACATAAAACCTATAATAAATTGCAGTTGTGTAGTAAAAGCTGATTAAAAATTGATTAAAACAGTTCAAACTATGTAGGTCTCACCTTAATACATCACATGGTGTTTACCCTGACTTGCAAGGAGCCCTTTGTTTCCTTGCCTCTCCATACACACCCATAGTGATGAGGGCAGACAAGTTCTGCTTACCTGTACCAGACCTGCAAATCAATAACTTACAGAGTGCAGAGACAATGCCAAATAAAAATATTCTGCTTGAGCCTAGCAAATGTGCAGGGCGCATCATGCAAAGAACAGATATGTCACTGGCCGTGTTACATGGCTGCCAAAAGCACTATCTTGCTTTCAGTGCCTTCTCCTCTCCAAACACTGCTAGGGCACGTAGCCCAGCGTTCCTCCTGACAGAGGAGAGGCACCTGAAGTACAGCTAATCAGCAATTTAAGGATCCCAAATATGAAAGAAAGTGCCAACACCTTGCTGCATCCATTTCTTCAGCCAGCTTTTGTGGGGACAGATTCAGGGCAACCTCTTCACACCAGGCAGTGCCGCAAAGGCCCCTTTCTTCATCTGCAAATTCTGGGGCTCCTATTCCAGCTTTGTGTGAGGATATGAATTAACATAACCCAACTATTTTCTCTGCCTCCACTAAGGAGCAGCAGGCACAGTATTTCATCATGTCAGTCCAAGTCTGCAATAAAACAATCACTATGTCCAGCTCCTGTCTGTATCTCAGGAAATGCTTCCCACGTGATGACCACTGGGTGCTCCACTGTATAAACGCTGCTTAGCTGTGTCAACATCTCACCCTTAAGAAACAGCTCACACAAGATTTCTGTGGTCTGTCCTATCATGAACGTGGGCACAACTAAGAAGAGAAGTTCATGAAGCTCATCATATGCACAGACCTGTGACAGGGACATTCGGAGCAGCCTTGCCCAGTCCCTCCACACCAAACACCCTCCGCCATGAGCAATCTCAGCAGCTGCTCGGCAGCTTGAAAAACAGATCCACCTGGGAGAACCACCCCATGTTCCAGTTAGAAGCATGTTGTAAAGCAGCGTTTGGTTTGGGCTGGTGGCCCCATGAGATGTGGTACCACGTACACTGGTGACGAGTAACAATCTATTTATCTTTTCGTTTCTGATAGCTTTGTTCGCAGGTAGTCCCAAAAGGAAAAAAAAATCACCACATACACCGTTTATTGCAGGTCTTTTATTCTGTCCTTCCTTCAAAGGATGATACTCAGACAGTCAAGGGAACATGAAATCTATTCCTGAAACTAATGCCAAGTTTCAGAGTTTTGGGGCAAGAAATGTCTTTTCAAAAGGTGGTTAACTAATAATGTCTTAGTAATGATAAAGGGAGATTTTCAGAAAGTCTGTTCAGCATTTCTAACCCAAAATTTTGCAGATAACTTTCAAATAGAAGTCCAAAAAAATCTGTGAGAAAAAAATTAATTGAAAATATCTAGTCACTATTGTAGTATCTTTCTGTTAGGGAAACTGGTTCAGTACACCTCATCTAGGAAAGGGAGAGGCACGGGAAGAAGGCAAGGCAATGAAAAATGTTTTAGGAATTACTCTATTGCTTGCTCAGAATCTTTCTCTAACTTTTAATCTTTAACTTTAACTTGGCTTTAAAAAGACTATACAATCAATTTATTTCTGAGTTTTAAGCCATGTAGAAAATTATCAAAGATATTGATTTTAAAAGAAAATGCTTGTAATTCAGTTGCATAAGGGTGAGGCAGAAAAATCCAAATGTCAAGCTAAGTCGAAGAAGGATCAAGAAAATTTGAAGCTGTAGGAGTTTGTCTTCAAAGTTACAGTCTCTTAGACAGACAATTAAATGAATGTCTGAAAGTGGTGGTTTGCGATGGTTTTGGAGGCTCCCAAAGAAATGGCATTAGTTGATGGCAAACCATAAAGCCACCATTAAAAATAACCTTGAAGTTGATACAGTTTTCATGGAATTTCTATCCTAAAAAAAAAAAAAAAATATTAAATGTGCTACAGATCTGGCCAGGAAAATCATCTATTTCTTATCGTTTGCTTCACTGGGCATCTATAGGATAATGGCATGTGCTGCCTCAGTGAAAGTTAAAGAATGATGTCCATAGGGCAAATAGTTATCTATAAACTCATTTCTTCCAAAGCTTTAGGGAGACAAAATCCTTTTGATTTTATTGAATGTACATTTCTGTCTAATCTCCTGCCAGCCTCTCCTTAGCATTACCAGTGGTTGCGGAATTGACCCCAGGCTTAAGCTGAGTTCTCCCTTTGGGGTGCATCGCAGCTCCTGGAAACAAGATGTAACAGCTCTTCTGATGCCTATTTGAATGAAGTGGACATCAGTGCACTGCGTCAGAACATCTTCAAGCCACATGGGATCCAATGATTGCTAGTGCCAATGACAATTTAACTTCTTACCCTATAAATCCATACTATTTGTTTTTCATCCTCATCACACGTTTCATAACCAGCTAGAAGCTCACATAAAGGCATTTAGGATTTTTCCATTAAAAAGTAGGCTCTTCAGCAAGGTATCTGAGTTTATTCTTCATTTTGTTTTCAGACCATTCTTCAAGAAGCATCTCTACAACTTAACAGCTCTGGTGTAATTAAGAAACACACTGCTGACAAGATTCAGACTTCCAGTCAGGAAAGCCACGGGCTTGTTAGTCAGAAGGAAAAATTAAGAGTATTGAAGATGTTCCTTCTGTCAAGCTTTAATTGTCTAAGTATACCTAGAATCCACATACAGTCCACTGTGAGAAGCAAACACCTCTGGAAAGGAATTCGTGCCACTTAGATAGCCACCTAAGATGAAACTAGTCAGGAGTTTTAGAATCACACTATCGTGTCTTTAGTGACACAGAAATGTACCTATCTAAAGAAAACAAATCCTTGTGATCTCTCTCTCTCTCCTCTTCTGGTTTCTTTTCTTCTCAACTTGTCCATTGGTTTGAAGTGATTTTCTTTTTCTGTTGGGCTACAAGACAGATCCTTTTGGTCTTTCTCTCTGCTCCTGCTCATGACATCTTTTAGACTTTCTTTGCTTGTGGGCAGATGGCATGTGTTTGGTCAGTCTTTCACCTGTGTTTCCACATCATCTCCTGAGAAACCCTTTCTTCTATATCCTGTATATCCTTTAATTGTGTGACCTTCTGATCATCTTCATCAGACATATCGCTGTTATTTTTCTCCCCTTCTGGACTAGATAGAAAAAATGGGTTTGCTCTAGGCCAGATCCATCTTTTTGCCCCAGTGATCATTATTTAAATGTGACATCAGTAGAAGATGACAAGTTCTTACCATTAGCCTGTCTTAGGCAGAAGAGCCTTTCCCAGACCTTCCTCAGTCTCTTCCCAAGTAAGGAAGTAAAAAACATCAGATAATTCATCTGAGTTCCACATTCAAAGTAGATCTATGTGGAGAATCCCTAGTGTCAAAAATTTTAAGCCCTCCATGGGCAGAATACCCAGTCAAGAGCGCCCATCTGCACATAGCACTCTGAGGCTTCCTAGCAATGGTTAAAGTCAGGCTCTGTGTCTTTTTCATTCTTTTCTAAGATATATATTTGTGCTTTTCATTGTCAGTTACTGAGATCGTAATATTTTTAAGAGGTCATTGTTGCTTGAAACCCCAGTTGCATAAGTCATATAGAGACACAGAAGCAGTGGTGAAAGGGGTAATAGTAAATTTGGAAGAAAAGAAAAAAAAAGAGATTTTTGAAGAAAAGTAATTACTACTGGACTGTGTCACATGACTTTTTAAAAGGTCCCAGATGTAACAACCAAAGCAGAGCTAAGAGTGTAAGACAGAAAAGCTGGTGCACCTTGAACTACTGAAGAGACCAGTCACACAGATTTCTCCCTTGGAGTCACAGGTTGAACCTCATCTGCAGGTATTTGCATAAGATATGCCTGGGCTCCAGCACGGGTAGATTTGGGTTTGTCCATGTATTGTAAGATCAGTAATGGCTCTCAAGCTCCTTAAATACTATTCTTCATCTACCTGGAGTACCATGTTGGCAAAGATGACTCTATGGGAACAAACTGAACTTCTGCAATCTTTGGTGAGCTGAAGACATCTGCTGTGCTGGGCACTGTAATATGCAAGCCAAAAGCATAATCCTCTCTTCCTGTCTTCATATCCCGTCACTGGTGCTTGGGGGCAGATAGTCTTCCAAAGCTTCCATTGCAATTAGTAACAATTGTAGCTCCACAACAGCAGGCAGTTTCCAGGTGGTACTTCTAGGTAGTAAGTGATGTCTGTCTTTCCATGTTTGTGGCTGAAATGATATGGAGAAACAAGGAAGTAACTCTTGCTCAAAACCAAATTCCCTCAGCTGCAATTATCTTACTCTGCCTAAAAATAAAACCTACTTGTTCAGAGTCTTAGCCCATTTGTTGTTGTTTGAGCTTCATTATGCTGTTGCCTTCAATGATGCTTGGCTTTTTTTCACAGATCTAGGTGAAGCTGGTCCATGCTGAAGTCAGTTATCTCTGTAAGAAAAGATTCAATATAAAATCTCTGCCATTGCCTTTTCTCAGCACTTGCCCTTTCACTCACAAAGCTTGTTTATGGTGCAAACGATTTACAGAAGTCTGACAGCAGTTCAACAAGGTGAAAAGCAAAAGGCAGAAGAACTCCACATTTTTTGTCATGTCATAAACATGATAGAACAACAAAAACAATTCCATTTTCTGCTTTCTCCTTTCAGTAGTGATGAAGTCAGATCTCTGAGGAGGTATTACTTTGAAACTAATACTTAAATACATGCCTTTGAGGCTTTTTTCCCATTGTTTTCCCTTTAAAATGAAGCTTAAAAATACATTGGGGATTCAATAGTATCTATAATTCTGTCTCTAGATTTCTAAATCTCTGGTATTTGCTTCTTTGTGTCTTTTAGTCCAGGACCATCTCTGGGGTAAACAGGTGCAACTCTCTCACCTTTCATGAGGCAGCACCTATTCAACCACACACACAAACCAGACATTTTGGGAGCGCATCCTCTGCAATTACCTCCTTCTTTCTGTTCCTGCAGCTCAGTGCCAGATTCTCTTCTTCTCTGCTCCCCACAGTGATCCTCTTTGCTGTAGCAAGGAGCAGAACAGAAAGTGAGAGGCGACACCTTGCCCCAGCGCTTGGGTTGCTCACCTCCCACACGGTTTCATGATGACCGGTACTGTCATGTGCCTGACATGATGGTGTCCCACGTCGGGGGAAAATGCGTCTCAAAGGTCCCAAATAAGCTTTCAGCAAGTCTGGTAATACCTACTTCTTCAGCAGAACCAGCTGAAGAGAAAGTGATATCAGGTCCAGCCAGTGGGATACCTGCAGCAGGAGAAGCCACTACCCAGCTATTACCCAGACTACTATTTTTACCCTTTTTCTTTCTTCCTCCCCCCTGAGTCTCAGTACCAATTTTATCCAGAATATGCTGTGGAAAGAAAAGAGCGGAGTGGAAGGGGAAGGAAGAACCATATAAACCATGCAACCAGTAAAGTATGATTGCTATGGCTGCCTGTTGGCCAGAATGGCACTCTGTCAATCATGATTCTACTAAAGTCTTTTGAGTGGAAAAAAAAAAAAAAAAAAGAAGCTAATCAAGCTCTTCTTTTGCAGGAATTGTGTGCTGTGGTAGGTTTTACTGACAATGAAGACAGAATGCACCAGAGAGAAATGCATTTCCAACTGTGTCCACTGTGCTAAGCCCTCTTCTTCCCCAGTAAAGATTAAAGGATCTTTTAAAAGAAGTGAAGAAGAAGATAATGTTTTTAGGTGGAATTAAATTTACAGAGACATACACTGACTTTCTGTTGAGTTGGTTAATGATCCTAAATAGTTCTGGGGCAAGATTACTGTCTATAATCTCTTGGCCCCAATGTTATTACGGGCTATTGATCATAAGCCAAATGAGGACAGGTTCACACAGCACCTTAGTCTAAGGATGGTCCTTTGACATCAGTGGGTTTGGCACACTTCAGTGGGCTCAGGATGTTAGAAAGTGACCTAGATACTGTCTGTTGCAACGCAAATCTCTGAAGTTGTTTGGATTAAAAGGAAACGATGACACAAGTGTGAAAGGGAAAAATAATTGGTCAAATTATTCTTTTTCCTTGCTCTGCTACAGGTTTTCTGAAGGATTTGGGCAAAACTCTTCACTAGCTCTTGGAGTTCCCCCTCCAAAATGAAGGAAGTAGTACTTGCCATCCGCAGAGGTGTGTTTTTAAAAGAGGTGACAGGAAAGTTCACAAAATGTGCTGAAATCCCCAGGTGACAGCGTTAGAAAAGTAATATTAGCTGCGGTCACCTTATTTGTTCTGCTCAAAGAATGATAAGGACCACATTTTCAAAGGGACCTCAATTCATCCTTCTGTTTGGACAGATACTGTTAAACAGCAAATCTCTGTTGTGTGCCTTTCCTCTCTTGAATTCTGTCTTTGCTCTCAATGGAAGGAAAAGTCCTGTGAATATATTAGCATTTCGTAAGAGTAGCTCGCAACTTCTGCAGCCTCCAGATGCCAGCACGGGGGTGCAGAGGGGAAGCGCGGGCGGGGAGCACTGCTCTGTGCCCCTGCTGCGCCTCATGAAGAGAAAGGGTTTGCTTTTCTCCCTATTCCTCCAGAGGGAGGAATCCCGGGGGCGGGCTGGGAAAGGAATCCTGATCACTGCTGGAACGGAGAGAGGGGGAGGATGATCATTCATTCAGCACCCTCTAGGCAGGGTTAGCACTATTCCTTAACCCATTGAGCCACGTGCTTTTCCTCTGTCTGCTGACCCAGACGGATTCTTTTCTCCCTGGTCCTGGTGTCAACTGGAAGTAATGTGACATTGAAAACTACTACTGGGATGAGCTCCTCTACACCAGGCTCGTGCATCCCACCTCCTCAGCCCCACTATCCCTTCTGTCCCTGCAGTGCCCTGCAGGTTTTTTCTGCATAGTCTGGAAATATTCATTATATTTCACATGGGTAGGTATTATCCATCTGTAAGATGCCCATCACATGATGCTCAACACATTTAACATAACTCTCAATGTAACTCTGGTGTCAAACCAGCTGACCCATCAGGGATATCTAGCAACGATCCTGAATTAGAGCTCTGCAAAATCAATGGGAATTTCTGAATCTCACTTTCTTAATTAAAAAAGGTTTGCATGGCCATGCTGGTGTTGGACATACTGTGGGCATGTGGGTGTGAAAGACAGAGATACTACACCACCTTACCCCTAAACTCATTAGCACTTTTAGCTTAACCCAACAGAAGTGCACAGTGTTCAAAAGCCATCCTTCTTCCTAAATGTTTCATGCAGAGAAGCAAGTGGTAGAAGAGGCATGTCTTTCCAGTGCCCTGTCTGAGAAGAAAGCTACAGGCTGCTCATACCCACCAAGAGATGCCAGAGAAGTTACCCCAACCCCCACATACACTCTACTCACTCTTTGAGCCCTACTAGACACCAGAGGATCCAGGCAGAAAACACTGTGCAAAAGAAAATCAATTTTGTAAATCTCAGTGCTAACAGAGCAACTTATTAGCTTTGCTTGCAGCAAAAGCACCTCTTCTGAAATCCTTTTCTGAAAAAAAAAAAAGTAAACATTTTTTTGAGGGTGACTCCATCTTGCTGCATCTGTTTTGGGACAAACTGGGGCAGGGGTACCACTCTTTTCTAAATCTATTTATATAGTAGCAACATTAATTGATTTTTATTGGCAAGACATCAGATTTCTCCCTATCTTGCTACTTTTCTCTGAATCAAGATTCCAACAAATGATTTTACTTTAAATAAAATGTAATCACAGGTTAGTAGAATTGATTTGTGGATAAGATTGCTTGACTTGGGGAAAACGTGTGGAGATATTTTCCTATGAATCAATTTACTGGGGAAAGAAAATGAGCAGCTGAACAAAATCTCAAGTCCAGGGAAAGTTCTACAGCAGCTGTAAACTAAATGGATAGACACAAGTGATAAGTCATTATATAGCTACCAAAGTAAGTTATTGAAGTCAGCAACTTATAGGAGCCTGTAGAACTGAGGGATGTATGCAGAAGAGCAGAATCATGACCTCTCCAGATGTTTTCATGCCAGCAACATCCTGCTCCTCCAATGGGCTTTTTCTGTTTTGCAGAAGAAAATCCAGCAACAACTTTTTGTGTTTGGTGTTGATAGATACTGTCTCCATGCACAAGTGGTGACATTTAAAGGTTGTAACATAAAAAGACGTTGTTGAAGGGAATGTTTTGATTAGTCAATATCTGTTCATTATCCTATTACTCTAGTAGTTGATAGTTTCAGCTTCACAGGATCCTTTAACTCAGAATCAGTATGTTGCTTTTTGAACCACTTATGAGATCTGATCTGTGCTGCCATTTATACCGTCATCATCAGCAGTGAACTTTGCCCACTGTGTTTATTGTTACACCTCTCCTTTATGGCTTTGAGACATACATATTCCTACTAACATCAAAAAAACCTCTGTATGAGTCTTGATATTTTATGGGTTTGCTGACATCAAGGTCACAACTAGGATCTTCAGTGTCCAGTATGCATTTTGGGATCTACAGCTGAAGGAAATTTGCAAGATGTCAGTAAGAATACTACGCTGTGCTGTCTACCAGCAATCAGATTATTAACCAAATTCAGCTTCAATAAGAAGCCTGAATTGTCAAGAGCTCAATTGAATTCAATGGAATAACTGGAATGGATGCCATTGCAACAAACATGAAATCTGGTCCTATGTCTTTCTGTATTCTACCCTGTTTAAACTTTAATTCAAGACTAATAATGATATAACTCATGATTTTGGTTAAGAATTGTTTGAACTCCTCCAGCCTACTGACAAATCGTCAAATTGGATTTGTGCACTGATCTTGAAATGGATCATTCGGTTAATGGTGGATTTGTCAAGAAAATAACTGATTAATGTGCCAACTGGATCAGAAAGGATTTTGATATATTTTTCTTTGACAATCTTAGAGGGAGAAGCTCAGGTACATGTCAAAATGCATCTTTTTGCTTTCTTTCTGCTTTGTTTATAAGACTGGTTATAAGGTACAAAATCCTTACTGGAGAAAAGACTTACAATACGTTTTTCTTTCTGTATTTTGGTTTGCTGTTTCACCTAACAGTGTAAAATTAACCATGGATATCCAAATGATTAGGGAGGCCCACCTGGCTTAGGGGGCCACAGGAGGCAGGGTATGCTGTTGAAGCAGCATGCATTGCCCCAACAGTGGCTCGACCAGTAGGCTGAATGTGGCTCCTCCTGCTGCAGGCAGGGCCAGGAGGCTGGGAGGTCAAGTCAATGAAGGTGGTGACTCATTTTGTCTACATGTTATACTTGTACTTCTATGTTTCCAGAACTGAATAAGGGAAAATAAATCAAAGCCAAGTTTCAATTTTGTTACATAAAATATAATTCGGTGTCAGTATGCTCAAACTCTTTGACAGTGTCACTTTCAGAAAGTAAAAGTCTAGTTAGCCTTCAAATGCTATTAAGTT